GGACGCTGCTTTCTGCTGACGATCACAAGGTCATGAGAAGTGCCACTAGTACCTCTGCAGACCCAGAGAAGCACTGCCAGCACCCATCTCTTCAACCGCCCTAACCCCCCGTTGTTACAAAGGGCAGCTGGACCCACCACAGCTACCGAGAAGATTTAAATACACAGGACTCCCTCAAGCTGCAGAGAAACATTTAAATCAACTACACGAGATTAAAATGGTGGAGAATTAAAAAAAAAAAAAAAGAAACCCCCCCAAAAAAACAAACAAAACAAAACAAAAAAAACCCACAACAACCCAAAACCACACCACAGTTTACCTTTTCCTCCTACTAGAAAGAGGAAGGGTGCAACAGGGGCACAGCCTGGGGCAGGGCTCCAGTCTTCACAGAGCCACTCCTCAATGGCAATACGGGCCAAGGGCTTTGGGCTGTCCACTGCCTCCTAGCACATGGGGTGGTCCCAGCTGCTCAACACCTTTGAACCAGCCTCCTGCCCACTCCCCTGCCTGTGCCCTGCCACGGGAAGACATCAGCGTGCTCTGTAGGGGAATCCGTGCTGCCCAGGCAGCTCAGGCTGTGCCTGGCAGAGGGAGCCATGGAGGCGACTGTATGAGCCAGCACACCAGGAGTGCCTCTGGAGTGCAGACTGCTCTGCAGGCCCATTTCTGCTGGGGTTTGGCCCATCTGAGCAGCTTGACTCCTGCATGCAGAAGCAGGGCTGGGCCTTGCCACCTCCCAGCTCTGCACTGGCCCCAGAAGGAAGCCCATGGGCAAGAAGCACTTGAAGGGAAGCAAAGTGCTGCTGTCACCTCTCCCCAGAGGCACCAGCCTTTGGAGGGTGCAACCTGACCATGCAGCTGGGCTCTCACCCTCCCAACTCTGCTCAGTAGGGAAAACAAAACTTCCCTTGTTCCCCCTCAAGCTGATCCCACCTGCTGCTGCAGGAACTCCATGCCCAAATACCCCCGGCCTTGCACTGAGGGGGTGAGGCTCCCCCACCTGGTTTGGTGGGTTCGGGGGCTTTTTAGGACTTATTGAAGGCTGCCAGGACAGCCCAGATCATCTCTGTGCCCCTGGCTTTGGCAGCTTCCACCTCGGGGTCCATATCGAGGAGGTCCTTGGTCCTGTTCATTGCCATACCGTACTTGTCATCTGCAAGGTTGGTGAAAACATTCTCCAGCACGTCTGAGGAGTGGGCCAGCACCAGGAGAGCCAGAGTCCGGCGGTCCATGCGGTGCGGGTCATTGACCCACCGCTCAAGCATGCTCTCCTGGAGCTTCTTCACCAAGCGCTGCTTCTCGGTGGCATTGCTGACGGGGTGGGTGGTCATGTCGAAGAGCAGGAAGTTCTGCTTCTCTGTGGTGAGGATGCCCTTCTCCACCAGTGCCTTGGCAACGCGCTCACGCACGTTCCTCAGCTGGTACTGCAGCTTGAAGGGGTTCCAGGTCTCCCCTGCAGGAGAGGGGACCCTGTTCAACACTGGGACAGCAATGGCCTTGCCACCCAACCTCAACGCTCAGGCTGCTTCCAGCCCAGAACCATCTGATTGAACAGATACCGGTCCCTACCGCAGGAACCCTCTTCCTCCCCTTGGCCTGACTGACCCACTTCTCCCATCAGCCCAAGCTGGCAAAGCTCCTAGCAGTTTGAGGCAGACCCCTTTGGAAAAGGCCTTCTTCCCAGGACACTGGTCAACAGACTCAGTGAGACTCAACATGAAAACAGAGGCAATGGGGACAGAGACCCAAGTCTTCCACCAAGCTCCCCAAAAAAAAAACCCAAAACACCTCTGCCCCCACATACAGCCTTCCCCTATTCTGCTGTCACTATTCTGCCCACCTCGAGTGAGGTGAAGGGATGGCCAAGCTGTGGAGAGGGGACAGGTGGCAGGGATGGGCCCGGAGGGAGCTGGGGAGGTGGCATTTCTAACTGGCCCTACCAGTGAGCAGCTCTATCCAAGTCTGCACTGTTTCTGCAGACTCTGTGGCCTTCATGTGTCGGAGGGTCTCATCCAGCAAGACGTCACCAGTTGGCGCATCTGACCTCAAGAGCACCTGGAAGGACAAAGTGGAAACCTGTGTAAAGCTGCAGGCGGACCTGCCGCGCCCTCCCCCACGGAACGGCACCAGGCCCGGTGTGCAGCGCTTCCAAGGCAAAGCTTGCCAAGGGCACGCAGCCCTGAAGCCTGCCAGTCCCCCAGCCCAGCTCCTGCAGCACCTTCACCTTTCTCTCCAGCAGCCTCTTCTTCCTGATTGAGAGTGGTTCCAGGCGGATCCGGCCGCGCAGAGCCAGCTCTATGAGGATGCCGCCCCGCAGGCCCGAGGAGATGCAGTCATTCCAGAAGGAGGTGTAGCCCTGGAGAGAGAGGGCAGACAGAAAGGGAAAAAGAGAGATGGGAAGAGGAGCTCTGCTGAGTCCCTCACCCGTCCCAGCCTGCTCAAGGCCTGCCCAGGCAACTCTCCCAACTTCTACTGTAAGCTCTGCCTCCTTGCTCTGCCTCTCCAAAGTAAGAAAAGGGCTTTTCCTACCAGGTGAAAAGTGCCCGGCAGCCCAAACTAACCCCCTCCCTGCCCAAAGCCTCCCTATTAACATGAAGCGATTCAGGCTGTGCCATTCCCGCTGCACCCACAACCACCCAGCACACTCCAGTCCTGGCCAGGCAGCTAGACCCAACTCCAGATGATGAAAAAATCTAAGGAAGGATGAGAAAAGCAGGGCCCTTTCTCCCCTGGCAAGCCCCTGGCCACAGAAGCACACTGCTCCTGCTGTGGGGCTGCAACCAGTGACGTGAGCTGTGCTCCACCCTACCCTGCCTCAGTGCCTGCTGCAGACATGCTCTGGGGAGACAGGAGGTGAAATTCACTCTTCTCCTTGAAGAAAGCCCCACCAGCTCCAAGCATGTCCTGAGAGTAATTAGCTGTATGAATATCACTCGTTAGGCCTGGGAAGAAGTCTCCCTGCTACCTACAGCACAGTCCCATGGCGCACAAGCTGCAGCAAGCCCCAGGTCCCATGACAGGGCACAAGAGCTTCTCCTCCTTAATCACACCCCCTCTGTGCAAATCTGCCCGTGGATTTCTGCAAGGGAAGTGAAGATTTCCAGTCAGGATGTGTGGATGCTGACAGTCTGGTCAGAGGCAATTTTCCACTGTTAGCTGCAGTCAGCAAGCTGCAGCTATTGTCCGTGAGAAAATCTATTTCCTCACACACTGAGCTAGCTTGAGCTTTGAGAATGGAATGATAAAACACCTGAAAAACAACTCTGCATCTTAGCTTTGGTGAATGTTTGGATTCAGGAACCAATGAATGTACCATAGCAACTTAGTAGCCAATAAACCTGTACCACGAATGTCAATAATCCACTCAATTTATAAAAGGTGCTTATTCTAATAAAGTTTGAACCATTTCTTCACCTTCTGATATTGGAGTCTACGTGTTGCCTGGACCGCCTCTACAGCGACAAGGACAAAGGATGGGAAATCAGCATCCTGCCTCTCTCCCAAGAGGGCACCTTGGGGCTGGGGTGCAGCAGTTCATGCCCCACCAGTGGGGTGGCACTGGGGCTGCTGCTGACCAGATCTGCTTGGACTCAGCATGTTGCATAACTGGTGCTAAGTCCCGTTCTCTGAGCCTGCCACAGTATGGGGTCCTCATCCCAAGAAGCACAAAGTTCAAAATCACTAAGGCATTTGGCGAAGGAACAGGAAGGTGCAGAGGTCTGGAAAATATGACCCACAAAGAACCAGCAATTGAATTGGGGGTTTGGGTCCAAAGAAGAGAAGAACAGAGGGAAAATAGGATAAGGTGCCTCAGCCACATAAAAGGCAGCAGCAGCAAAAAGGAATTGAATGGCCAGTTCTCACTTCCACTATGCATGGGACAGAATCCTGGGCTAAAATGGTGGCCAGAGAGATTTGAGCTGGCACCAGGAAGAAACAACCATCAGACAAGAAAGCCCTCAGAGGGAGTGGGCAGGAGAAGGAAGTCCCTTGATGTTTAAGAACATTCAGCTGATCCTTCTCAGGAGAGAGCTGACCCAAGTTTGAAGCAATGGGACAGCTTAGGAGACTTCTTCATTCCCTTCTACCACCCTTCCTCCACCTCTCTTATCCACTGATTAGAACAAAGCCCAGTTGTTCCGGCCCAATGACTGCCGCACCACGGCACAGACACAGGGTGGCAGTCCTTGGATTTCAGGGCAGGCAGACAACGGGCATGGCTCCAGGGAAAGTCTCATTCAGGCAGGCAACAGGGCTGGAAACAAGGCAGGCCCTGGTGTTCTGAGATGGGCTCAGGGAAAGGCCCACCTTCTGAGCCAAGTGGGACACAAAGTTACGTGTTTATTGCAGATGGACGCCAATGCACCAGAAATGCTACAGCCCATTCATAACCCCCTTCTTGTTGCTCTTTTTTCTCTGGAGGGAACGGAAAGGAGGAGATAATGGGCAGGTATAAAAGCTACTAGGAGACTGCAGACAAAACAATCTACCAAGCCCCCTTCCTAAGGAAACAAGCCTGAGAATGTGCAGCCCTCCTACGCGGAGGTTTTTAGACTCCATATGAGGGAGTCTAACTCTAACCCTAACCCTAACCCTAACCCTAACTCTTGTCCCCAGCGTATCTGTTTACACAGTGCATCTGGACAACAGGTTGCTCAGCTTGCGTAGCACAGAGAACCATAAAAGAAATTAAAATCTTTATTTGCTTTCTTCATTTCCTTGTGAGGAAGGACAAAGCAACCTTTCATCCCTGCCCTGCTGATTTCTGTCTGCGGGAGACGCACTATTTTTTTGCACACGCCCTTTAGGAACAAGTTCTCTAGAGAAGGGTGTGGAGGTGACCAAAAGTTTCAGTTCGCTGGGCTGGAAGGCACGTTTCCCCTAGAAAATTTTAAGGTGTCTGAAATCAAACAAGTCGAAAGCTCTTGGTTTACTTCCAGCTTCTGGAATCGGATCGGTTGCCAATATCAGGCTGGTGTGCAGCCAATTTCTCCTAGATGGACAGACTGGTATTTAAAACAATGAAATTACACTGTGTGCTCATTGGATTTGGCCAGAATTGTCGGGTCTTTTTTCCAGTCATCAAACCATGAGTACACAACAGAGCTGGGAAAACCCAGTCCCAGGAGCCCAACTCACATCCAGGCTACTGTGGCCTCTGGTCTTCCTTTTGAGATTGAACAATGTGGAAGGACAGGATGGGGAGGTGGGAGGGGGGGAAACAAAAGTGACAAGATTTTTGTCATATCTGTTGTGCTCTCCTAATTTCTGGTGGCTGAAGGGCCATTCTGAGAAATGCATTAACCAAGCCAAGGACACTAAACATAGCCTAGGACAAAAGCAGACCATGCCATTCTCCTAGGCTGCTCTCAAATATTTGCTTCAAAATTATTTGCATAATGTTCTCTCTTTACAGCCCTGCCCTCCTGTTACTTCCTATTCATCTCAGCAAGTCCTAGATCTTATCTGGATTTGTTAAACAGGACAGCTATAAGCCTGTGTCATTCATACAACCCCCAGCTCGCCCCTGCTTGCCGAATCTGCAAACATGGTCCACGTCACAAGCCATGGCCCGAGTAGGGCACCAGCTCAGAGATACTCAGCAGCAGCAGGCCTCTACAAGGAAATATGGGTTCAAGCACCTGACAGGGGCTTAATTTCAACCCAGAGAAACAGATTAACAGAAGGTGGCCCATCTACCACACCTGTGACAACCAGTGTCTCCTTTCCTCAGGGTGGGAGAGAGGCACACAGAAGAGTGTCCCTAGAGCAGAAAAAAACAGTGTTTAAGGCTCTTTTCTGCCAGTATCATCCCAAGAAGCTCCTTGGGCAACTGGTTAGCTTCTTCTGGTCTCGATTTCCCCATCTGCTCCACAGGAATAGCAACATCAGATTCCCCCAAAGACAGCAAGATGATGCACACACTAAAGAAGACAAGGCAGGTAAGAGCCAAGCACCTTGGAGAACTCCACACAAGATGTCTTTGCTTTTCCCATGACTCATTCTAGGCAGAGCTGAGAAACAAGTTCCCACGGGCTGATAAGCACAAAAAAATCAGTTTGACCAGGGTCCTCTTCCAGCAGCGAACAACCCCCTGAAAATAACCAGCTGTGAATTTCATCCACTACTGCCAAGGAATTCCATTACTTGGCACACAGGGGTGAGACAAGCACCCAGCAAAGATCTCCATCCAGCCCCACTCCCTCAAGCCTGAAGCTGCACAGCACCATTCCTGCCTAGCTAAGGAAACTACCAGCCTGAAAACAGACTTGGCTCCTACCTTCTTTGCCACTACTGCCTTCAGACCCATCCTATACCTGCTTCCAATGCCCTGTCCAGCTGCCTTCTCTCACCTTACCCTCTTCTCTCAAAACCTGTCCCTGTCATTTTTCACATCAGTTTTTAACAAAGTGGAAACAGTGCTCAGAGAGTCCTTGAGTTTCAGCAGATGGTTTTGGATAGGAAAGTGCACTTGGCCTAGGGAATAGGACATTCACCATCTGATGCACAAGGTGAGGCTCCTCTTACCCTTTTTAACCTTGGCAAAGAACAAACCCTCCTCTGCTCTGCAAATGGCAGTCACATAGTAGTAATAAGGCATGCCTCACCTCCAGCTGCTTCCTGCAGCACCCATGGCACAGCTAGCAGGACAGCACTTCTAAGCAGTCTCCACAGCTCAGTTCAAACTACCCCTGAAAGCGGTTTGCACTAAGCAGCTGGCTTTGTTGAAGAGGATTCAGAGGAACTCATATGATCCCTTCTGCTGATTACTGAGTACCTCACCTCCAGGTGCACCAAGGCAGTGCTGCCACCACTGCACACGCAGCTGTCAGAGTTGCTGGCCTTACCTCCTTGTCCTTTAGTCCCAGCAGCAGCACCTCCTCCATGAGTGTGAGGCGGATATCTTTGGAGTCATCAGGATCGTCATCATTCAGGTCTCCATCCGCAGCTGCACCTTCTTCGCTGTTAGGCTTCTTGTCTGAGTTCCTTCCTGCTTCAGCACGCCGTCCTCGGTGTGTAAGCGTCGTCATCTCCCCTCTGGTCTGGTACACAGAGAACGGAGGTCTGCCTTGTTTCTAAATGCAATGGACCAGAACCACGCTAAGCCCCCAAATCTAGGCTCCAGGAAGGCACAGCCAATGACAAGAGTCGCTTGCCCTTTCTGCTCAGCAGATATCACATCACCCTTCCCAGCTGTACAAGAGTTACTGGCAGGAGCA